CAGGGAGCTGGCACATTTGCTGAGGGCCTCAGCAGGTGGCTGTGCAGAGCACACACCTGTGTAGCTGCTTACAGTTTCCATGAGGATCTTTGCCTACATGGCTGATGTCTGGAGTCCACATTTAACACCTATCTGTGGGTTCCTGAGCAGTGACAGCTGCGGTGCAGAGGAGCAGGAACATCCGATTTGAATTCGAATCCCATCTCAGCCTCTTTGAGGCTGTGTCATTTGAGGCAAGTCACTTCCTTGTGCCTCAGTTCCCCACAAGTAAAATGGAGTAATAATAATTCCCACTACTGGGGCAGATGCAAGGATAAGATCAGATAACCTCCCAGACAGGGCCCAATACACACTCGATTTCTGATCAGGTTTCTTTCTAACTTCCCACTGAGTGCTTCCCTCCTGCCTCCTCCTGTCTCCAGAGGGGTTTACTAAGTCAGATTACCATGCCAGGGGCACAGGGACATTTCTGGCCCCACCTGGACCATTGCCTCCACCCTGATGACAACAAGGAAGTGTCACTACCTTCCTGAGACGTGGTTGGTAAGAATCTATTCCATCACCACAAACACAAACCGTTCTTGTTTCCAGTCCAACCATTACACAAACGGCCAAATCATTTAGGGAGGGGTGTTTATTTAGCAAACATAGTGATATCATTTTAACCATTTGCAGGAAAAAGAAAATGGTATGCTGCTTAGGAAGCTCAGAAATTCCCAGCTGGTTCAAAAAGTGGGTGTAATGTGAAATGATTTGGTGTTTTAAAAAAATAATATTTACTTTCTAGGTTAATAGCTGGCTTGGGTTTTGCTGTGTGGTATGTGCGTGTGTGTGTGCATGCACACGCAGTCACACATGTTTCTGGGGGTAGAATTACAATATTCCAAAAGAAGGCTGGACCCAATGAAGGCGACCTCTCTTCCTTGGCCATAAAGTAGCTGAGATGCTATTTTACCTACCTTGAGCATGGCAAACGTAAAGATGTGACAAGGGTTACTACTTCTGGGAGGGTACTGTGCCCTGCAGGTCCCCCAGGTTACAACTAATGGGTGGAGCTTCCTCATATGGGGGGGGCGTGTCACACCATCCCTTCCCCACACACACAGTATGGGGCCCACAAAGAGCTAAGGGCCTCCCTGGGTTTCTGCGGATATATTTTTTTGTGCAGTGTTTTCCCATTCATTGATCTGCTCAGTTAATACTCAGGAAGCATCTCCGTGTGCCCAGCACTTTGAATCACAGATGAGAAAATCACCATCCAGACAGGAGAAGGGTCACCACTTCTTAGGGCAGGGACAGATTCTAGGCAGTAAATGTCCAGGACAGGGTGCTCACTGGATAGAGGTCCCTGAGCCTCCTAGTCCAAGAGGCCTCAGTTCCCAGTCTATGAAAGGAACTGTTTGGACCTGACCTCTACAGTAATTTCCAAATATGGGGCAGGTGGCTGCTAGCCTGAAGTTCTGGCCCTCCCCAGATGCCTTTGGGCAAATCATGTCTGGTCCTCAGTGTTTCTGTCTGTCAGTTGGGACAGTGCCAGTGCTGGTGACCATGACATGGACCAGTGCACTTGCCCGGGAGCTGAGTAGGTGGCTGGCACATAGGTGCTTCATCCTTAGTTTCCACCACTTGCACCCTACCATTTGAGCCAAAAGAACCCTGGCTAAGTCAAGTGAAGCCTGAGCCCCAGTGCCACTGCTTAGCTCTGAGTAGGGTCAGCACCACCCCTGGCTCCCAGACCCAAGACCTCTGCTCTGGTGTCAGTGACCCAGCACAGAGGCGGCTAGCAGTTTGCTGTCTCAGCCGGCTGCTGACTCCTGACAGCTCCCTGGGACAGGGCTGCTGCCTCCAGCTGTTGGCCCTGCCCTCCCTGCATGCAGGCATTGAAAGTTAACGGCCAAACTGGGCCTCAGGGGACAAAGTGCCAGGCAGTTGTACAAAGCAGGCTGCATAGGGGCTGGAGCATTCTCTGGGGACTGTAGGAAGGAGAATGAGAAGCCCATAAACTTCTGGGCTGTTATTCAGGGAGAAAAATGGTGATTGGAAGCAGAGAGTTGCTGCATAATCATAAAACTCCCCCTCCAATAGAAAGTGCTCTGTCCCAAGCTGGGCCGAATGCCTTACTCCATTGCTAGTGCAGTGCTCCCAGCTTCCTGGGAAATGGCTCCCTGATGGTTTCCCAGATGAAGAAACTGGGGTTCAGAGAGCAGCAGTGATTTGTCTGGGATCACGCAACCAGGAGGTGATGGTGCGCCCGCTATGTTCCAGCCCCATGCTCTTCATCAGAGGACATCTTGTTAAGGCTTCTAAACTAGTTGGTCTTGGGTTCCTCATCTGCCAGATAGGCACAAGAGTGCCACCCTCATGGGACAGCTTTTGAGGACCTAGTTGGGGTTCATGCTGAGTTCCTAGGACAGGAAAGGCAAATAGTAAAGGGTTCAGGATCCCCTACCAGCTGCAATTATTATTGTTTCTCTGCCTTCTGGATATCTTGGGTGTTCAATAAGGAAAGCAGCCTAAAATCCATGCAAGTAGGAAAGGTTTGTGCCAGCCAGGGCACTGGACATCCCCAGATTCAGTTCTGACAGAGACAGGCTTCTCGTCCATGCTCGCCCTGGGCACACACTGCCAGGCCTCCCAACAGATCTGATTTTGGAGAGGGGCAGCTGCCCAGGGCACCAGACACTTTGTGGGAAATGGCAGGGGGTTAGCCTGGTCGGGGAGCCCTGCTGGGCAGTGCTTGGGTACCTGGATTCAGAAATTCTGCCCTCACCCAGGGTTCCTTTGTACCCCCCACCCGAAGGTCCTCTGTGGACCTGTGTCACACAGAAAGCTGGCTTCTAAAGTAGCAAGCAGGTACTGGCAGCAGTGACTACAGGTTATGTGGCTGTTGCTCTGAGTTTTATTTATTTAATCATCTCAGGAGTGCTTGGGGTGTGTCCTCATTCTGCGCCCCCCTCACTTGTTGCAGTAATGAAAATTGAACCCAGAACTTTTGCACTGAGCTACATCCCCTGCCATTTTTATTTTTTATTCTAAGATGGGGCCTTGCTGCTAAATTGCCCAGGCTGGACTTGAACTTGTGATCATCTTGCCCTACCCTCCCAGAGTGCTGGTATCACAGGTGTGCACCATCATGGCTGGCTCATGTTCATTGTAAAGGTAAGGAAACTGAAGGAAGCTGCACTTTGAACCTGCACTTGTCTGACACTGGGCAACTGTTCTAACACTCTGATTGCCTAGCCCCTCTGGGCTTTGACGAGGCTCTTTCCCATAAGAATGAGAATCCATGTCTCTGAGCACTTGCAGACAGCCCTCAGGGAAGACAGCTATCCCATAGGCACCCAGACAGAGGGCAGAGATAGATTCACAGGACACTTTCAGTACCTGCTGGGATCCAGGCAGTTTTGTAGGTAATAGCTCATTTAACCCTCAAGAACTAACTTTAGTTATTCCCTCTGCACAAACCAACTGGAGTTCAGAGGAGAAATTGCCCGGGATCACAGCATTAGCAAGTGGCAGAGCCAGAAATTATTATTTAGTTGTCATAGCAACTCCATGCATTGGGTACAGCTTATATTCCCATTTTACAGATGATGAAAACTGAGGCTCTTTGAGCTTCCACACAGCCAGAGAGGCTGGGATTATAACAGATTCTGAAGAGCCCAGGCTGATAACCCTTATACTGCCTCACCCTATTGGGAGTTAAACCCTATTAGCACTGGAAGGAAGCCCAGAAGACCTTGGTTATGTGATGCAAGGAAAAGCCCTTTCACTTCTCTTGGGCCTCAGTTTCCCCAGCTGTACAATAGGGCTCAGCAGAGGAGCTTCTCTGGCTGAGGTAAGTGATACACTGCTGCACCCGGGCCCAGCTCTGTGAGCCCTAGGCTGCCTGCAAATACTCACTTGGCCTCCTTTTGGACCTCAGAAGGCAGCCTCCAGGCTGCCTGCTCAGAAAGCAGCCTGCCTCTAATTGGGGGCTGCAGACTGCCCTGGCAGGCATTGCTTGGGAGCTGCAGTGGCCTCAGGGGGCCAGACAGCCCCCGGGTAAACAGGGTTGATCTGAGGTGACAGCCTGCTCTTTCCACACCAGCCCTGCTCACTCCTCTGGTCTCCCTATTCCTTAATGTGGGCTGGGCCCCTCAACCCAGATGTGGTGCTTACATTGGAGGTTGGGGCCCTGGAAACTAGGTCAGGCCTCCTTAGGCTCAGGGAAGAAAGACAAGGATGGGACTCCAAGCCCTTCCTTTTCCTCCTCTTCCCTCCCAGTGACTGTGTGTCCTTACAGAAGCCTCTTCTCCTCTCTTGGCATCAGTTTCCCCATCTGTAAAAGAAGCAGGCTGGACTGGTTGAACCCATAGGGCCTATTCCAGCTCTGACATTTAAAGACAAAATGGGAAGACCTCTGAAGATTCCTCCCAGCACCTCACTTGAAGCTTGCCACATTCTGATTCAAGAAATAATTTATTTTCAATATTTTATCTAATTGACTCTTGGGACCTGTGAGAGACCTAGAAGAGACTTTATAATCATCTAATTCAGCAGCATAATTCACATGATGAGGAAGTGAGGCCCAGAGAGGTAAAGCACATACTGAAAGTCACACAGCTAAGCTAAGAAGCCAGTTCTTTCTCACAGCTTTCCAATAGGGGAGATGGAAGGCAATTCCCCTCCAAAGAGCTTTTCTATTTGAGGGCAGGTGGGGGAGTGGGGAGTATTTCCTAGAGCCACTGCAGGGGAAGCAATAGCAGCTGTTGTCTCCAGGATGACCAGACTAACCCCAGAGGTGACCTCTTTTGGAAGGGACAAGAAACTGCAGGCATTTAGTGGTCCCACCGTGCCAGGCCACAAGCCCAGACATCCTCAGAGAAACCAACTCTGAAATCAAGACCTTCTAGTTCTGCAAAAAAATCACAGAAGTGAAGTAATAGGTTCAGAAACCACAAACAGCACATAAACACTTTAAGCAATTAAAAATACATTGTTGTTGTTGCAACCCTCACCTGTATTCCTGTGGAGCTGGGTAGTGATTTGGCCCTGAGTTTCGAATAATTCCTGACATTATGGATGAGATGTCACTTTCTATCATCTCCTTGGGGAAAAGACAAGCAGAAAACAAAGGCTTCATCAGCCACAATGTTGACAGGACAGAAACCCAGTTTTCCCACAATTCAGGATGGAGTTCAACTAACAGAACAGAGTTCCTGGGCATCACAGGTCACAATCCTAGGCAGTTCTACAGGGTTTTAGAAACAAATGAAAAGAATGGAATGAAATTCCGGGTTCTTTCAAATAGATGGGGGGGGGGGTCGCTGGGGATTTAGCTCAGTGGTTCTGCCGCCTGCCTCGCAAGCATAAGGTCCCAAGTTCGATCCCCAGTACAAAAGAAAAAAAAGAAAAATCAAATTAGTTGGAGGAAGGACAGAGGGAAGTCTCTAGAACCCACATGTCAAGATTTAGGAAATTGGCCCGTGAAACAAGGAACCAGATGAATTTTATTCCCTTCCAAGTCATGTTTTCAACTTCACCTATGACCACTTTGAAAATCCTACAAAATAAGGATAAAAATGGAAGCTTGGTGTGTCATCTGTTTCTCAGAGGGAGCCAAATTCCCACTTGCAAAGGGAATAATCTCTCATGACTCTCGCCCTGGAAATGCCCTCAGAAATGCCACGTGTCCTTGCTGGCAAACCAGTCCACCCACCACTGCCACCCATCCTCGGCACACACCAACGGCCTTTTAAAAAAATCTTCAAACTCTCTAAGTTTTTGAAACTCCAAGCCTGAAAAGAACACAGAAATCCACCAGCTTATCAGTTCCGCCCCCAGAGTCATTGGGGGAATTTCTGGAAGGAGAAAAAGGGATTCCGAGGGAGACGCCCCCGCATCCCTGCACTGGGGTCTCCACCCTGGAAATGCAGTCCAGGGCGCTTCCCGGGAGGAGAGTGCAAAGCCGAGGCTACAAGGCGGGTACCTGGAGCCGATCTCGCGGGGCCGCTACGCCGGCGCTCCGGGGGCGGGCGCGGGTTCCGGAGGGGGCTCCCTCGCACTCGCCCCTAGCGTTCCGCAATTTGCCCGCTGTCGCAGCTCCAACCGTTTTTAAATTTCCCTCTCTGGAGCTGTCCAGCTCAGAGCATGCGCAGTAGTCGTGCGGGGGGCTTTTCCCCAAGGGTCAGTTACAGGGCAGGGTCGAGGGGATCGCAGCGGGCGTTTCCCAGCAGCAGCGAGCCCTGCACGCTCCGAGACACCCCTCTTCAAACTTTGCGAACCGTGGCAGCTACAGCGTGCCCGCGAGCGTGCGTTCAGGAGCAGGGGGAGGAGGATTTGGGCCAGAAGAATTAAGCTGCAAAAGGACGCTGGGTGCTTTAACACTTGCACTCCGTGCCTGTCCCGGGGGTCAAGGAGGTGGGCGGGCTGAGCGATCTGTGGGGCCTCGTCTCTCCCCCAAAGGGGTCGGACCAGGAAGAGTCGGCCCCAGGTGGCTGCAGATCTGAGCCACCTGTCCCTTTAAGAAAGTTGTGACCGCGCGGCGGGAGGGGACTGCGGGGAGGGAAGCGCTCTCGCCCGCGCCTCGACCTGCGGGGCCGCGAGGGGCGCCCGGGTGTAGGCGCCTGGCCCCTCTTCTCTGCGGTGGGAGAGCCCGAGGTCGCCCGCGGCCGTGGAGGCTAAGGCGCTGCGAGCCCAGCCGGGCGGAGCCGTTGGGGCCGGGCCCGCCTGTGCGCCCGCTCCCGCCCGCCCCGCCCCGCCGCGGGAAAGGTGGCGCGGACCCGGGGCCGAGGCGCGACGGAGCGCGGACTAAGGTCTCCCCGCCCCTGGGGGCTCGGATGAGTTCCATCCCGGAGAAAGTCTGCGTTTCCGGTCAGGAGCCCTGGAGCCTCGGGTGGAGTCGTTGCTGTAGTCGCAGTAATGATAGGCACCGTCAGGCCCACCCGTGTGCACTTAAACCTGCTTCTGCCTTCTTTGCGCCCTCGTGCGGGCTGAAAGGGCCCCCTGTCTGCACGCGGGGGAAAGGAGGCCCCAGCGGTAGCGAGCAGCAGGGAGCAGAGTCCGGATCCAAACCCGACCCAGCAGCCCGCACCTCCTCGGGACGCAGCTCGAGCTTCCCGGCCGCCAAGCCAGGCCCCGACGCCCGCGCTGCTTCTGGGGCTTAGCGCTGTCCCCACGTTATTTATTCGGCAGCACCGGGGAACCGAGTCCCGCACCTGTGAACAGGACGCGAGTTTCACCCCGTGAAGTTCAGGAAGAACCTGGGTTCCCTGGGCTGCGTGTGGCTGCATTTCGGTTTTCATTCAGGTGGGCTGGGCCCTTGGCCCTGGTCCGAGTCCTCTTGAATGGTTTTTTTGTGGCACCTGGGCGCCTTCTCCTTTTCTCTCTGCCAAAAATAAATCAGTTCCCACTCACTGGGAGAAAAGGTAGTTTACAGATGTTAGTGAAAGTCGTGGTCAGAAAACTCTCGGTGTTCATCTCTCTGAACTGCATATATTCAAAATCTGATTTAAAAGGTGGTTTCCGTAGCCTGTGTTCCTCTGCATGTCCCTCAGTGACCTACAATTAGTTCACAAATTGTAAGCATTCGCAGCATTTGGGTTTGTTTCTGTTAATCCTTATTGGAGTTGTAAGTAAATATGGATGACCTGACAACTTCCCTTTGAGGTAAATTAACAGTCCTTTTCCTTAAGGTATTAGGACTTTGAAGTGGTTTGGGAAGAAATTCTCTCTTCTGAAAGCTCATGGATCCAGTACAGCGTTTAAATAAAAGGCATGCAGTCTGTGAGTTCTGTAGACTCCGCCTCTGTGGAAAAGAAGACCAAGGACCTTGGGGGAGGGATGTTCCTGAAGGCCCTCAAAACTCCCCTTTTCCTTTGAAGAGTTAGCTTTTTTGCATGAGTTTGGCTGCGAACTGTGGCCATTTTTATACAGAGTTAATATTTTGAGTTTGCTGCAGAATTGTCTGGTGAAACTATTGCCACTCAAGCATCTCCTGCTAGGGTTGTTCAGAAAACCCAAGTAATTTAACAGAACCCTTTTGTTTGTTAGATTAATATAGTTTCTCCTTTTATAAATGTATAGTATTTCTCAACTGTAAGTCACCTGGAGTGAATTAGAACCATAAAAGAAAAGGAGTGGAAAATCCTTTTTTCTTTTTCCTTTTTATTTTATTTTTTCCTTTTTTAGACAGGTCATGGTTGCCCAGATTGGCCTCAAACTCAGTCTTCCTCCCTTGGCCTCCCAAGAAGGGGGAGACAGGCAGGGCCACACCCAACTATGAATCCTTATTTTCAACAAGTGTCTCCTTTGTATGTATGATCAAGCAAGTTGGGGCACCCATCCTAAGCTAGATCTTTACTGAGCTAAAGGTGATGGATGCCCTGTTATTTCCTTTTAAAACAAAAGAGCATGACGTTCACCCATTTATCACTTTCACTCTTTAACATTTGCTCCTGTATAAGAGAGGATCCTGAGCCTTAGATTGGTCCTGATTTTGCAAATGTACTTAAGAGTCCCGGCTAACAAGACTCTCACAAGGCCCAGCACAAATCCAATTCTCCTGGCCTCTGATTACACAAGAAATCTTGCAGAAGGGAGAGAAAGCAATAGGTATGTGGCTTTGGGCTTCACTTTCCATAGAAAATGTCATGGAAATGCTCTAATGTGGGTTCATGGTTCTTAGGTTCTGGTAATGTGACAGTGTAGTTGTGTTATTGTTCTGTTTACAGCCAGGATGCCTATGGCTGTGTCAGAAATATTTTGTCTATGATGAGCTTAATACCAACTCAGTCACAACTGGGAGCACTAGTTTCTCAGCTGCAGCATGTAGGAATGGTTCCTACTGAAGGATTAAAAAATATTAACTCTCCTGACAAGTTTAAAGCAGGGTTTCTTTGATCAAGAAGCTCAACTTCATTAAAAGTTCTGACCATTCTTTTCCCTTTACCCTAAAATCTTGACTTTTGCTTTGCATATTCCAATTTCCCAGTGGTGAGGAGGAAATGGACAAGTCAGGAAGAAAAGACTTGTAGCAATACGTACTCATTCTGTTCCTTCCAGCCTAAACCCCCAGGCTTGTGAAGTGCAGTACCTGTGTAGGAAGTGGAACTACTGAGGTCTTTTTTTCTTGAATAGTGAAACTAAGATTGACCAGGGAGTGCCATAGTGTTAAGGGCTGGGTCTGGCACATCGTAGGGGCTCTGGAGATTTGTGGCATGATTTTCCTTGGCTTTGACGGTTACTGAAAACTGGTTAGGTGACATTTTCTTAAGAGAAAGTTCTCAATAGGAAGTATATCCTATATCCCCTTTTTAAGGTCCATGCCAATAATTTCTGATTCTGATTTTATCAAGTGTGCGGTTCTGTAGCCCTGGGGAAGCCATTGTTGGATGTCTAAAAACAACGTGTGAAGACAGAACACAATACTTTTTTTCTTTCTGTAGGAGACCATGAAAGTACACTGATCTCATTGCTCCTGTTAGCATGACTGATATATGTATTATGGTTCTCTTTGGGGCCACAATTGTAGAGGAACAGCCCCTTATAATTGTTGTCCTACATCTTATTTACTAAGAGGATGCTAGAGCCTGGGATATTTGTAGGAAGAGAATAGTAGAATGTCTTTGTATCTTTATGATATCTTATTGCCTTCCCGACATCCAGTTCAGTCCCTGTCCTACTTCTCAGAAAGGTGAGCAGTAGTTGATAAAATTAAGCCTGTGGAAAAATGTGACCCATAAATGTACACAGGGCATGTTGCAGCAGGTTTTGTTTGTTTTAAACTTTTTCTTTTACAACAACCTCACTTAGCCAGGCGTGGTGTTGCACACCTGTAATCCCAGCATTTGGGAGGCTGAGGCAGGAGGATTGCAGAGAATTCGGGGCCAGCCTGGACTACAGTGAGACCCTGTCTCAAAAAACTAACCTCACTTAGTTTTATTGTCAATATGTGCCTGGACTCCAGTATGAAATTTTTTCTTTGGAGAAATTTTCTTGAGACTTTTTCTCTGGAACATTACCCAGTTATAGTTTCCAGGGCTGAATTTAATCAGTATGAAGTAAAACTTTCTGGCAATTACAGTGCTTCCGGGCCACATGTCTCCTCCCAGGGTAGAAAGAGCTTTTGGCTGAGCTGTTGATGGGAAAGCCACATGGAGGTGAGGAAGACTCATAGCCAGAAACAAGTTGGATTAGATCTCTGAGCCCACCTCATGCCCACATTACATGATAGTCTTCATCTTATCCTGAAGTTCAACCCCAAGTGCATGTATGTAAATAGCAAATTCTCTGTTGAGCATAGACTGTCA